ATCTATTGCTGGGCAATTGGAAGAAAAGAAACACAAGCAACAGCAGGAACTCCATCTTTGCTCAAATTTCCACAGGCTCCTGGGCCTTGGTCCTGCAGTGTTTGCTCCTGTGCGCCACCTGCAGCTCTCAGGACCCCCTGCAGCCCAGTCCCTCCTGCTGCTCTGCAGGGTGGGTCGTGTTTTTGCTCACACTGCAACCCTCACTGTGATTCTCCTGCACAGGAATTCTGAGCCATGTACTAGGAGTCACGGTGCTCAGATGCAAGAGAACTCATTCTTGGATGTGTCTGAGTTGATGACTAGTCGTCCTTGTAGAGACAGCATGCAACCTCTGTACCACTGTGACTGATGATAGATCTTTCCCAACAATTCAAGGCAGCTCCTTGGGGAGAGCCTGATGTAGTCACAAGTAGCAGTGGTATTGGGACTGAGTCACCAATGAGGCGGCAGGTGAGGGTGATGGTCTGTAAGGTCCTCACCATCTGAACTTCCAATTCCTGCAATTGCCCCTGGGAGAGGGCACCTGGACAAAAGAACACAAGCACATTAAACAACCCATCTCCCTGTGAATCTGCTATGACCCATTCCATGTCCCTGCCACTCATGTAATGGAAGACCCAACACTACCTGGAGGACGATGGGGAAGGGGCAGACTTCAGCAGCTCGGTCTCCCAGTCGTAGGATTCCACACGTTCTGGTGTCTGATCTCCACAAAGGGTTTCTCCAGAACCAAGTTCTACAGCAGGGTAGATGCAAGCAGGAAACAGGGACGGGCGTGATGGGAACCACAGCGATGGGCTTCAGTGAAGAACTTCTCCATATTCCAGTTGTTGCGATCTTACATCAATCACAGTTTCCAAGCATAAGTAAACTGCTGGATTAGATTTCATCTGTCCTTCACTCACTTACTTACAAATTCTGAGAGCTGTTCTCACAGCAAGGCTTCATCTGCACTGAGGACTTATCAGTGACTAAAACAGGCCAAATTATCCTTGCCCTTCTTAGATCTACATTCCAGGGTATTATGGAAATAGTGCACAAGGTGTCTGACCCCTAGACCCAGGCAGTTCAATGATGCTGGGCGTAAAAACGGTTGCATGTCAGCATCATCAACCTGGAAAACACATATAGAAAAAGGGAAACAGGCTCGCGTTTGTGGGACGTTTGAGACGAACAATGTGTACTCAAACTGAGTGAAGCATGGTGATGGGTGTTGGGTATGGAGGGTCACTCAGCAAAAAATTGGATTTGAGCTGCTATGAAAACAAGCCACCCACCGTTCTGAAAAGGGAGTGAGTGAGGATGAGCTCTTCATTTTAATACAACTCTGATTGCAATTTATTCACCTGGGAACAGCGGTACTCAGTAACAGATGGAGAATGGCAGATGTTCCGTCTTCTCTGGAGACTAACTGATCTCAGCAGAAATGTATTTCTGTTTAGTGAAACGTCTCTCACATGTACTTCTGGGGTCTGAGTCGGTTCTAACTCTTTCTGACACGGGCCCTGGCTCTTTGTACCCTCTGCAGCATCACCCGTGGTGTCTGAAGTGTCCCCTCTTCTCTTCAGAGGGTCACATGTTGCTCCCACCATACTGTTGTCTCCTTGGAAAAAATCAAGGCCAAATATGTGCTTAATTTACATCTGGAGGAACCCAGAGGGCATGGAATGGCTTACCTGCAAGATGCCCTCCGACTCTGCTCCTCTAGATGTAGTCCACTTCCATAAAGATTTACACATTTGGAAACTCTATGGGGCAGTTGGTCAGGTAGCTGTCCCCCAACTTCCTTGATACAGCTGTGTAAGTGTCTTTCCAGTATTGCATGTGTTTATTGAGACATCCCAAGTGCTGCTTCGCACAGCTCCTATTTCCTCCTCTATTTTCTTATGAAAATCCCATGTATCGCTGCAGAGCACGCAGTCGCCTCTCCCCAGGACTGTCAATGTATATCATTCAAATACTGCTTTTGATCCTACTGATCCAGTTTCAGGTGTCCTGCCCTCAGAAGTTCCCAGAATTCTAGGGATACAGTTACTCTCAGCCGGATGAAGAGAGATGAATAGAAGGTGTGTCATCCTACTGTGTAAATTTACATTCCTTCCCCAGGAATCTGATTCTCCAACCTCACCAACACTTAGTCTTTTTCCTCTTCTTGTTTCCACTGTCACCATCTAGTGGGGGAGTGGGGTAATCATTGTGGTTGGGATTTCCACTTTCTTTCATTTATTTTCTTTTTCTTTTTCCCTCATTTGAAAAGTTTGTTTTACATTCAATATTATGTGTACATTTAGTTTCACTCCCCATTTACCATGCCCAACCCTAACCCAGTCTCCTCCCCTCCCTATGCTGTAATCTTCCTCCAGTGCCCCTCATAGTTATGCACCCCTATTTTTGCTGGATTCCCTCCATGTGAATGTTGCCTCTCTGGTGTCTCTGGTCTATTGTTCCCAGGGTTGTATTCCCATAGAGTATGTGCGAGTGGTCTGCGGGTACATCTTGTTTACTATTGGGCCATTGTCTTAAGACCAATGATGGTGAGTATCTTCTCCACTGTGTATCAGCGATCTCAATGTCTTCATTGCAAAGAAACATTTTATCCAAAAGTTTACCCATTTTTAACTTGGTTTGCTTGTCTTTTCCTTTATGAGTTAAAGGAGTCTTTGTAAAATCTTGACACCAGATACTTTTTAGGTATATTATTGTAATGTTTTAGAGTTTGGAAGAAAACTGAAATTTTAAGAAATAATAAGACAAATAAGGGTCACTAAGACAGGAAGGAAATTGTCTGAGGGGAAACCACTCATTCAAGGAGGAAAAATACAAAGTTCAGATATGAAAAACAAAAACTTGGAAAACTATCCTCTTTCTGTACATAAACGCCTGCTTCCTCTGCTTGAGTGCTCATGGTGATAAACGTTCACAAGTTCCCTCTAAATCCCTGATCCCCCGCACCCCCCTTGAGGGAGGTTAGTGTCTGGGCTCACACTGACTTCCCCTCACTGTGTCTCTTGCACAGTAATACATAGCTGTGTCCTCAGCAGTCAAGGTGCTCAGCTGCAGAGAGAATTGGTTCTTGCCTGTGTCCCTAGAGATGGAGCTGCGACTCTTGAGGGATGGGCTGTAGTAAGTGTCACCACTAGCACATATTTCCCCAATCCACTGCAGTCCCTTCCCCGAGGGCTGGCGGATCCAGTGCCAACAGTAACCACTGGTTGTGATGGAGAATCCAGAGACCGTGCAGGTGAGGGACAGGGTCTGTGCTGGCTTCACCAGCCCTGGGCCTGACTCCTGCAGCTGCACCTGGGACAGTACACCTGGAGACAAGGACAACCACAGTGAGTCACAGGCAGGCGTCACAGCCCAATCTCCCACCTCTGAAGTCATAGAAAATCTCACCTGGGGCTGCAGCCAGCAGACAGAGAAAGATACACGGCCACACCATGTTGTTCTCTGAGGGTCCTGTCTTCCTCAGACTCCAGTCCACACTGACAAATCACAAGACTTTCCCAAGCTTAAGCATCTTCCTCTATCTGTGGCTGAAAAAAATATTTGCATGTAAGAGGCCCCATAGTTATAAGATGGAAACAGTGTGAGCAGGACTTGGGTTCATGTGGCCATCTTGTAGTTCAGTTGTCCACTTGTCTCTATGGTCATGACAGAGAGGACATTGAAGTGGGCCACATGTCAAGAGAAGGTGACTATCCAGAGGAAATGGTGACTTCCATCACTGGTAGTGATTGTTCTCAGTTAATGATGGGGTGTGAATATGATACAGTCACACAGTGTTGACGTATTTGGGAGCATACATATTTCCAGTGATGCTCTGAGTACCACATGCATGTGGGAAAAATCCATGTTTGAAAGATGTTCTCTGAGAGTTACCCAGATTCCTCTCACTCCTGAGTTTTTGGGGAAGAACCGTAGTGAGTGAGATGTTTCTGTTTATCTTAGTGATCACAGTACAATGTTCTTTTCTTGTGTCCTTGAATAGTCAAAGCTTCCTAAACTCACCAGGACAGGAGTGTGTAAATAACTGCAAAAATGCTTTCATAACGATAGCTTTCAAGGGTCCAGGTCATTTTGTTTGGAATTGAGGCAAAAAAAATTTTTTTGAAAGTTGATATATTTTCTAATTAATTGATCCAAAGAAAATTAATGGATTATCCAGAAAACTCCCATTGTATAAATGGTCATTAAATATAATACATTTAATTTTTAAAATGTATATGATGCATACACTTTGAATTCCATTTCATGTGGTATTAGGCATTATTAAATTGTATTAACCCATGGCTGTCAAATCAACTCATATTATAGTGACCCTATAGGACAGAATATATTTACCCACAAGGTATCCAAAGTTGTAATTTAAAGAACCACACTGTTACATCTTTCTTCCACAGAGCAGCTGGTGGGTTCAAGCAATTGATCTCTTGCTTACCAGTGAATGGCTTAACCACTGTGCCCCCAGGGCTCCCAATGAATGTCCCAACACCCCTTACTATCTCACATTTTCTATGGGATTGGGATCCAGTGGGGCTTCCCATGTGTCACTCTGACTCTCATGGAATTGTATTTGATTTGGTTGCATCCAATTGGTGTCTCAAGAATGTACATGTCAGAAAAGTCTCCCTCTGTTCCTTGCCAGGCCTGGCTGAAGCTTCTGGCTGCAAGTGGGATGCCCCTCCATAGTAACAGGAAGTCGTACACGTCATTGGCCTTGGATTCAAGGACTGTTACTGCCTCCCTTGCTTTACTCAAACTCTGCTTTCTCTCAGCTGTGTGGGTGACCCCAGGGACTTGCTGCCTCTACACTAAGGGAACAAGACTTACGTCTGACCCCTCTCTGAAATAAAGAGCATGTTCTTTGTCCTGGCGGGTACAAGAGTCTCTTGAAACTTCCCTGGAGATTGAGACTCTCGATCCTGGTAGAGAAGGTGCCCTGTGTGTGGTGGGGACATGGTGTCCCGAGCATTGGATTCTCACATGGATGCCCACCCACATGGGTTATCTCTGGTCTCCTGGGCTGCTCCTACTCCTTCCCAGGAGCGTCCTGAAGATCCATGAGGAGATACATGAGAGACTCTGTGAAGCCCCTTGTATCTTGGCTCCCACTTTCAAGGTTAAAGCTTTGTTTAACCACCCCCGTGATTTCTGCTCGTCCACGCCTACAACAACCTCCTCTGTTTAATGAGATTATTAATTTGAGATGTGAATGTCAGTAGCGTTTGCCCAGTTTCCATCCCCATCAAGACAGGATGGAGTACATTATCATTCATTATCAGACGAATGAGCAAAGTATCTAGGAAGTCAGTTTCTGTCATATGGGTGAAAAATAATCCCATTGTTTTAGTTTTAAGGCATTGCTCAACATTAATAGACTCCTATTACTTTTATTTTGGAGTGTAAGCCAAATCAACCTCCCAGTAGATTACAGTGGGTGATGTATTCCGGTTGCACGCTTCTATTAAATATGAAAGCATTTATTAACTCAAACTGTGTCCTCTTCCTCCTACAGACGCACAAGCACATTTCATCCTAATCAAATACATATTAATAATATTATTAGGATAAAT